AAATGGCAACCTACTGCCTCGTCAGTCATGTATCGAAAGATACATGATCGCCTAAACGTGTATCACGCATGACACATAACTGGTTTTAGGAGGCATTGTGGAGTAATGGATAGTGGCTCGGATTGAGGAATCGGAGAGCTGAGTTCGAATTCCAGGCGAATCCATTGCATTCATTTACGTGCTAATACTCTTGGGAAAGGTATGAATCCTCTTCTTCTCCTCCTAGCTATGGGTAAATAGCCTTGAATGGCAACTAGTCTACCGAAGAAAGAAATGGCAACCTACTGCGTGAAAAAAAATCTGTCTCGTCAGTCATGTATCAAAAGATATATGATCGCCTTTTTTTTTTTTTTAATACTCTTCTGTCATGTTCATCCCATACTTATGCTTTTGAACTATAGTGTATATGTGGTTATATATGAGAGAGTGTGTGAGTGAACAAGTGAGAACGAATCGAAAAAAACCGAAATTTTAATAAATGTAATTTTCTTCATGAAATTAGGCATGTTATTCAGAAAGCCAAATGGGTCGCATGTAGCCCGCGGGCCGCAGTTTGCCCGTGACTGGAATAGACCCTTCCACCAGGTCTTGTAAATGTCTGATTGGCCTCATGCTAGGCAAACATGGTGCCCACACCATTTACTGGAAATCTCCAAAATGCTTCTCAAAAACTGGGCAATTTGGGCGCTCTCAACGTGCGAACAGGCAAAAACCAGACGGACACAGTTGTGTCTGAACCTGCTTCTAGGGAAGATGAATAAAGACATAACGTTACCATCACAAGTAATCGCTCCATACACCTTCGTAATCACCATTTCCAAAAGCCTCTGCAGTATCCTCTGAAATGTTCGTATTGGAACTCCCGCCGCAAATGCCAAGCAGGACAGCGTGACAGAGGGAGTTGTGTCATGGGGCTCTTTTTCTCACAGACGGTGCCCAACTGACCCTACAATACTGTACAGTCGACAAAATCAAAAACAAACAACGCGCATGCGCGAAAATTAGAACTATAAGACGGCGACAATTTACCCATCGCACCCAGTATATAGTTATGTATGAGAGAGTGTGCGAGTGAACAAGTGAGAACGAAGCGAAACAACCCACATTTTAAGAAATATTGTTTTCCTCATGAAATTAGGCGGGGGTGTTGGGGGATCAGAAAGCTAAACAAGTCGCATGTGGCCAATAAATGCTATATTTTGCTGGCAGTTTTTCTAATGAACTCTTGTTCTCGGTAAACCGACCGCGTGAATTTAAGCGTATATACGTCCCACTCCCGTCTTTTGAACAGGATTAGAGGTTTATCCCTTGTTTCCAGTTGAAGATTTGGTTTCCGATTCCATGTAAAGTCTTCTCATTCTCTTTCACTCCCAGGAGCCCCTTGCGTCTTAGTGGCATTATCGCCTTACTTTGGGTGAATTAATTAAAAAAGATTGGGCTTCCAGTTCCTTGTAAAATCTTTTCATTCTATTTCACTCCCAGTAAAGGAACTGGAAAACCAATCTTTTTTAATTAATTCACCCAAAGTAAGGCGATAATGCCACTAAGATGCAAGGGGGGTAGAATCCTTGCGTCTTAATGGTTTTATCGCCTTACCTTAGGTGAATTGATTAGAAAAGATTAGATTTCCGGTTCCTTGCAAAATCTTTTCATTCTATTTCACTCCCAGTAGCTCCCTTGCGTCTTAGTGGCATTATCGCCTTACATTGTGTGATTTAACTAAAAAAAGATTGGGTTTCCGGTTCCTTGTAAAATTTTCTCTTTCTCTTTCATTCCCAGTTTTCCCTTGCGTCTTAGTGGCATTATCGCCTTACTTTGGGTGATTTAATTAAAAAAAGATTGGGTTTCCGGTTCCTTGTAAAATTTTCTCTTTCTCTTTCACTCCCAGTTTCCCCTTGCGTCTTAGTGACATTATCGCCTTACTTTGGATGAAATGTTAAAAGACAAGGGCATTCCGCGGATGCCAGGTAAATGATTCGATAATCTCATATGTATATTTATTTTATTTTAAATCAGATTTTCCTTTGTTTGCTCTGAAACAGAATGCTACGCAGGCAATCAAAGATCGCTTACAAAATGTCTACCACGAGCGCCTGCCTCCTTCGTATCAAATGTTGTTTGCGCTAGCGTCTGTTGCCGACTTACTGGATGCGCGGATATCCTTTGAAGACGAACCGTAAGTCAGGACTGTTTGCGGACGCAGAACTAAAAGTATTTGTCAAAAAATTAGCTAAAAATATTTTTTTTTTCCTGCTGTAATGTCATTAATAATTTTCGAGCTTTTTTGTTATCTACCTAGCCAGCTAGAAGACCAAAAATAGGTTAAATCTGCCATACCTGGACAGGATTTACCCAATTCTCGCTTTCTAGTCAAAGTTCAAATATTTAGACTACGTTGTGGATGATAAATTATTTTCTACATTCCCACCCATTTCCCCACAGACGAAACGTCGCAGCCTACCTCTCTCTTCCATCGTTACTTCCGTGTAAAATATCCTGACAAGCTACATTTCTTAGGTCCACCAGTTCAACCCTTTACAGCTTGCACATTTACAAATCTACCATTTGCCCATGCATTGAATATTGTTGCTATATCTGGTCTGGTGTTGCTGATATATATATATATATATGATGTAATGATTATGCATACACCTGGGTCCCACTCCCACAGTAATATGATTGGCTGGTGTCAGACATAAATACAGACTGATTTGGAGGTACAGGGACTACGCCTATTGTCCTCGCCTATTGCCTACCACTACGACGAGGACCAGTCCATTACGGTTACCTGCTAGTTTGTCCTACACGTTTACAATAGTCCAGAAGCACTTTGCTACTTCGAACAAATATATCCCTTTCCGGGATATATAGATATATTTAGAAAATCTTGATAAAATCCAAAAAATCAATCTCATTGATCGTGACTTGGGCATTTTCTATAAATATTGTCATGGTAATTGTTTTAAAGAAGGCTCCTCGGTAGTACAGAGTCTCTAAGGATTTAAGCGCAATACTGGATTTATCATTTTACCGTTGAAATGGCTAGATGGAACCGTAAGTTCTATGCAGAGAGTTTCTTTTTTAGAACTTCTTGCTTATGGGACTCTCTTCCGATTTTTGCTCTCGAGTCAAGTTTGATGTTTAAAAATTTAAATATGATGACAGTCTTTATCTTCTGCCTTCTTAATTATTGTTTTTTTTTTTATTATTGTTCTCGTACCTGAATAATGTTTACCTTTTTCTCATATTCTTCCACACTCAGTAACCCCTCTTTTTTCGTTTTTTAGTTTTTATTGCCAGCATGCTTTTTTGAAACGATTAAAAAATTAATGAATTAATATCTGAAATAATTGTCATATCTCTGTAGGTAAATGGACAAAGACTTGACTGAAAATATGGGTGGCTATTAGCCCACTTTTTTCTTCTATGCTCCGTGTCCTTCCAGGACGTTGGCGATCATGACTCTTCACAACTTCCTGACCTTTGTAACCCTTATAAAATATGGGTGTCTATTATACCCCACTTCTTCTTCTGTGCGTTATGTTCCTCCGGGACATGGGAGGACATGACTCTCCACAACTTCCTCTCCTTTGTAGCCCTTAGAAAATATGGGTGTCTATTATGCCCCCTTCTTCTTCTTCTTCATGTGAGTTATGTTCCCCGGGACATGGAAAATACATGACTCTTATGTCCCCCTTCTTCAACTGTCCTATGTTCTTTCCGTACATGCCCTTAGAAAATATTTGGTGAAAATTTAATCTTATGCCCCCCTTCTTCTGTGCGTTATGTTCCTCCGGGACATGGAAGGACATGACTCTCCACAACTTCCTCTCCTTTGTAGCCAATGCTTTTATCCACTGGATCCATGTGACGTGAATATGGCAACGAAGATGTGGACAGCAGTCCGAACGAAGTAAATAGTGTAAATAATTACAATACCTCATCTCAGATATATAGATAGATCCTGAAGAAGGCCGGAGCGTACAACATCCGAAAACGTCGAAATATGTCAACGAAGATGAGGAGAGCAGTCCGAACGAAGTAAATAGTGTAAATGACTACAATACCTCATCTCAGATATATAGATAGATCCTGAAGAAGGCCGGAGCGTACAACATCCGAAACGTCGTTTTGGCGGCAACGAAGATGAGGAGAGCAGTCCGAACGAAAAGTAATTTTTAAATGATTTTTCAATACCTCATCTCAGATATATAGATAGATCCTGAAGAAGGCCGGAGCGTACAACATCCGAAACGTCGTGAATATGGCAACGAAGATGAGGAGAGCAGTCCGAACGAAGTAAATAGTGTAAATGACTACAATACCTCATCTCAGATATATAGATAGATCCTGAAGAAGGCCGGAGCGTACAACATCCGAAACGTCGTGAATATGGCAACGAAGATGAGGAGAGCAGTCCGAACGAAGTAAATAGTGTAAATGATCTTAAAATACCTCATCTCAGATATATAGATAGATCCTGAAGAAGGCCGGAGCGTACAACATCCGAAACGTCGTGAATATGATAAACGAAGATGAGGAGAGCAGTCCGAACGAAGTAAATAGTGTAAATGGCTACAATACCTCATCTCAGATATATAGATAGATCCTGAAGAAGGCCGGAGCGTACAACATCCGAAACGTCGTGAATATGTCAACGAAGATGAGGAGAGCAGTCCGAACGAAGTAAATAGTGTAAATGACTACAATACCTCATCTCAGATATATAGATAGATCCTGAAGAAGGCCGGAGCGTACAAGGACCGAAACATCATGAATATGGCAAAGAAGATGAGGATAGCAGTCCGAACGAAGTAAATAGGGTAAATAATTACTCTAAGATTAGTAGGAGAGAAGGCCTTGGAGGAAACAGTCGAACAGATTGAACTCTGGGTCAACCGACACACACTCACTAGTCGTGTAATACTCTTCTGATGTACTTACTGTTTAATATATGATATATTTGTAACACTTATTTCTTTAACCATTTACTTGGTCACAACAGATAGATAGATAGGAACAGTCTAAAATAGGTAGATAGATATGAACAGACATAGATAGATAGATAGATAGATAGATAGATAGATAGATATAGATAGATATAAACAGACATAGATAGATAGATAGATAGATAGATAGATAGATAGATAGATAGATAGAATAGATAGATAGATAGATAGATAGATAGATAGATAGATAGATAGATAATGAACAGATAGATAGATAGATAGATAGATAGATGAAAGACATAGATAGATAGATAGATAGATAGATAGATAGATAATGAAAAACATAGATAGATAGATAGATAGATAGATAGATAGATATAGATAGATAGATAGATAGATAGATAGATAGATAGATAGATAGATAGATAGATAGATATGAACAGAGATAGATAGATAGATGATAGATAGATAGATAATAAAATAACAGACATAGATAGATAGATAGATAGATAGATAGATAGATAGATAGATAGATAGATAGATAGAACATAGATAGATAGATAGATAGATAGATAGATAGATAGATAGATAGATAATGAACAGACATAGATAGATAAAAAGATCTAGATGAGTATATTCGTTCAAGACAACCTTCATTTCAATGATCTACATAGATATATGTTAAATATATAATAGATAGATAGATAGATAGATAGATAGATAGATAGATAGAGAACAGACATAGATAGATAGATAGATAGATAGATAGATAGATAATGAACAGACATAGATATATAGATACATAGATAGATAGATAAATAGATAGATAGATAGATAGATGAACAGACATAGATAGATAGCTAGATAGATAGATAGGAACAGATAAATATAGATACATAGATATGAATATACTGAGATAGATAGACGAGAGTAAAATTAAATCATCCAATGCTTTTTTTGTCATAATAAAATTTATTATAAAAAAAATCATGTCTAACTTTTGTTTAAACACGTATAATAATTTTCACTTATTTAAATTACGAAACAACTACATTTTGAGCCAATTTAGAAAATTAAAAAAATATACCCTGTGTGACCACTAACTTTTGTACTGCAGTTTAGGTCAAGCATTAATCTCTGGGTGGGGAGATACCCGAATCAATGCAAAAAGATCTAGATGAGTGGCCGTTCAAGACAACCTTCATTTCGCGATCTACATAGATATGTCAAATAGATAGATAGATAGATAGATAGATAGATAGATAGATATGAACAGACATAGATAGATAGATAGATAGATAGATAGATAGATAGATAGATAGATAATGAACAGACATAGATAGATAAAAAGATCTAGATGAGTGGCCGTTCAAGACAACCTTCATTTCGCGATCTACATAGATATGTCAAATAGATAGATAGATAGATAGATAGATAGATAGATAGATAGATATGAATAGACATAGATAGATAGATAGATAGATAGATAGATAGATAATGAACAGACATAGATAGATAAAAAGATCTAGATGAGTGGCCGTTCAAGACAACCTTCATTTCGCGATCTACATAGATATGTCAAATCTATAAATAAAAAAAAGCCACATCTCTTTTTCAAACATTCTTTATTGAATGATCTCCAAAGATATGACACATATAGCCAACTATTTTGAAAGACATTCATTCAATACTGTAGAGACGAGGTGACGAAAGTCAATACACTCTCCTATTTACAAACCTGTCTTTGTTCAACTGTCGAGACTATTTACATTTGCCATGTCTCTGTAGAGTCGAGAGAGATGGGGCAAGAATAAATAGTCAACTTGAAGTGAATTCCGTTAAACAGTTTAAATATTTTCCAAAATAAACGAATTGAACACATAGACGGAGTTTTACGTATATATTTTTATAGAGAAAATCCATCGCTCAGAAAAGGAGTGAACAATACCCCGGTTCGTCATGGGGTATTTTTGACGATTGAACGGGACACGTCTTCTCCCTATGGGCTCTCTTAATGGCTGTTGTTCCCAGGTCCATCCTGACCCGGCGTGGTACCACCGGCTAGGGTCCCAGCAAAACCAAAAACACAATACATTTTTATATATAAAAAATAGCAACAAAACCTATTTCTAGCAAAATGACCAACAATACATTTTATAGCAAAATGACCAAGAATACATTTTATAGAAAAATGACCAAGAATAAATTTTATACTAAAATGACCAAGAATACATTTTATAATAAAATGACCAACAATACATTTTATAGCAAAATGACCAACAATATATTTTATAGCAAAATGACCAAGAATACATTTTATACTAAAATGACCAATACATTTTATAGCAAAATGACCAATACATTTTATAGCAAAATGACCAACAATACATTTTTATACTAAAATGACCAACAATACATTTTATAGTAAAATGACCAACAATACATTTTATAGCAAAATGACCAACAATACACTTTATAGCAAAATGACCAAGAATACATTTTATACTAAAATGACCAACAATACACATTATAGCAAAATGAACAACAATACATTTTATAGCAAAATGACCATGAATACATTTTATACTAAAATGACCAACAATACATTTTATAGCAAAATGACCAACAACACGCTTTATAGCAAAATGACCAAGAATACATTTTATACAAAAATGACCAACAATATATTTTATACTAAAATGACCAACAATACATTTTTATACTAAAATGACCAACAATACATTTTATAGCAAAATGACCAAGCATACATTTTATAGCAAAATGACCAACAATACACTTTATAGCAAAATGATCAACAATACATTTTATACAAAAATGACCAACAATACATTTTATGGCAAAATGACCAACAATACATTTTTATACTAAAATGACCAACAATACATTTTATAGCAAAATGACCAAGAATACATTTTATATCAAAATGACCAACAATACACTTTATACAAAATGACCAAGAATACATTTTATACTAAAATGACCAACAATACATTTTATAGCAAAATGACCAACAATACACTTTATACAAAATGACCAACAATACATTTTATAGTAAAATGACCAACAATACATTTTTATACTAAAATGACCAACAATAAATTTTATAGTAAAATGACCAACGATACATTTTATAGCAAAATGACCAACAATACACTTTATACAAAATGACCAAGAATACATTTTATACTAAAATGACCAACAATACATTTTATAGCAAAATGACCATGAATACATTTTATCTGTAGTTGAAGGCATACAATTGCGTTCAAAATATATTTAGTTAAAACCGTAACATTGCGTTCAAAATATTTAGATATCAGCATTAAATAACCTATAGAGGTGTTGACAAGCCACTAAACAAAATCATCCAAGCAAACAACCAACATAAAAAACTCTTCCGTATAATATTCTACAATTTCTTAAATCAAATTGTATTCCCAAATACAACTTCAACGAAACAACATAAAACCCACATATCACTACCTCTAGTGATCATATCCACACAAACATGTATAGGCACAAGAGCTGCGTATTATCTACCATGTATTCAACTGTGAAAGCAGAATAACATATTTTTATTATTTCAAAGCTCCGAAGAAAATTAAATTTCGTCCTTACATGGCCCATAAGGAGTTGATGTACCGTTAAGCAAACAAATCAATCTTTGAGGTAAAAAGAACAAAAAGATAGAGAGAGGTTGGGGTTTGAGCTTTTTCCCCGTTTACGCACCACGCCACCTAACGGGCATTAAGAGATTTTCCCCTGGAAGGCTGGGTAAGTTCATCGCAAACTCTCTACTTCTAGACAATAGTCTTCTTTTTTTTTCTTTTTTTTTTTTTGATCGGATGAAATATAACAAATGTAAATGAATTGTTTTTTTGTTTTGTTTTGTTTTTTTTCTTGCGGGAAGGGTCCTCCTGCAGTGAAGCAAGGGCGCCGATTTTATAACACATACGACTGAATGAATTCCACGGACCCTGAAATTTTTAACATTGCTTTTAATTACAATCCATTCTTTCGTCAGCTTCCACCGGCTAGTGTGTGTGTGTGTGTGTGTGTGTGTGTGTGTGTGTGTGTGTCTGAGAGCGGTCCCGTAGATCCCTCGACCAAACATCATCCTTCCATTCTCCGTCTGAGACGTATAAGGAATTGCCGAACACCTCTCCAGATAGATAGGAAAAGACTTAGATACAAAGATAGATAGAAATGGACTGATAGATAGATAGATAGATAGATAGATAGATGAGACTGAGATAGATATATGAACAGACTGAGATAGATAGATAGATAGATAGATAGATAGATAGATGAGATAGATAGATATGAACAGACTGGACATAGATAGATAGATAGATAGATAGATAGATAGATAGATAGATAGATAGATAGATATGAACAGACTGACATAGATAGATAGATAAATATGAACAGACAGAGATAGATAGATATGAACAGACAGAGATAGATAGATAAGAACAGACTAGATAGATAGATAGATAGAAGATAGATAGAATATGAACAGACTGAGATAGATAGATAGATAGATTAGATAGAACAGACATAGATAGATAGATAGATAGATAGATAGATAGATAGATAGATATGAATAGATAGATGATATGAACTGACTGAGATAGATAGATAGATGATAGATAGATGAATATGAACAGACAGATAGATAGATAGATAGATAGATAGATAGATAGATAGATAGATAGATAGATAGATAGAATCTGCCGAACTCCTCTCTGGAGTATTTGCTTATATATCAATTTATCCAGTTGTTTTTTTGTTGTTTTTTTTTTTTCGTTTCTCTCACACACAGATACCAGACTCAGCTTTGTACACAAGTCTCCATCTCTTGATGTTCTCATTGACAACGAACAAATGGCTGGCGGTCATTTTAGTTCAGCCTTGCACATTGTTTCCTTACCCTGGTGCGATAGTGAGTACAAATCCTGTTCTTGCATGATGCTACAATTATTAAGTGGCAAAACAAAAGTACTTCTATTTTCAAGCCAGAAGAGTCCTTCCTTCGTTTATCCACACAAGTATGGGAAACATTGAAGACTCTCTTAGAAAAGAAATTTTTTTTTATCTATGCAATACAGATATATGACAAAAATAGATACAAATTATTATTTTAAAACGAAGTTTTATTGAATGACTTCCAGGGATATGACAGCAGTGAACAGCCGATAAATGATAAACACAGACAACTACGATACTCAAACAACAGAAAGAAGTCGTCTGCTCAAACAAAGACATTTTATTCAATGATTGCAGGACAAAAGTAAATAGAATTTTCTTTGAAAAAAAAAAACGAATCTTTATTCAATGACTTAGTTATCTATTTTTTGCCATATCTCTATTAAAAAACGTATCTTTATTCAATGATTTAGAGGTATGACGAAATAAAGAGACAACTCTATTTTAAAATGGAATTTTTCGTCACTGACTTTGACCGACATGACAAATAAATAGACAACTAAAACGAATTAATGTCCTAGCGATATGACTTTAAAACGAGTCTCTGTTTAATGGCTTACAGAGGTATGACAAAAATGCTGAAGGTGTGCAGGAAAGTGCTTTTTATTTTTTTTTTTTTTTTTTGTGCTGGTTAAATGAGATCCGTTTAGTTTTGGAGGGATCAAAAATTTACAAGCCCTTTCCTGCCCCAGTGAACCACTGTTTGGAGGTCCTTTTCAAGAGTAGCGGTCAGGTTAGCTTTGTCAGCTCTGACGGGTTTGCTATTGAGACAACAGTAAATGGTTGGTATCATCTGCCTAAATAACTACTTGGAAGATCATTGAAGAAGATCAGAAAAAAATGTAGGACCCAGGATAGAGCCATGGTGGGGTGGAGGAAACCGGCGTTCGTGTAAGAGGATCTGGAAGCGAGCCTATTTCGAAACGACCTTCATTTCACGATTTGATAGAAATGATTGGATTAGATCAAACAATCGTCCAGTAATACGGTAGCCCTTGAGCTTACGTAGAAGACCGACGTGTCAAACCATGTCAAACGCCTTCGAGATATCAGGAGCCATAGATCGAGCTCCACCGTTCTTATCAAGTGCGGAAGCCATTTTGTTTGTCAGAGAGTAGATCCTGAGAGCTAACGTGCTTAACCACTTCAGCATTGATTAAAGCCTCGAATACTTTGCCGAAAGTGATAGGCGACTAACAGGGCGATAGTTAGAGGGGTCAGAAGGTTCTCTATAGTATTTAAAAACAGGAACAACAGAGGAGGACTTCCAACAAGCTCGAAAGCAAGAAGCATCGAGACAATAGTTTGGAGTGAACTGGAGCCAGCTCAGGAGCACATTTCATTAGGACTACGGCTGGGATCCCTTCACAGACAGAAATAGATAGGAAAAGATTGAGATAGATAGATAGATAGATAGATAGATAGATAGATAGATAGATAGATTGATGGGATCCCTTCACCTCCTCTTTCCTTATGGCAGTCTTATTTAGAATTAATGTCTGAGACCAGTGACGGGGTTATGCGCATATCACTCAGTAGAGCCTCTGTTTTGGTGAGGAAATCCGAATGAGTCGAGTGTTGAGTTGGAAGAGAATTCACAAGCAAAGCATTCAACCATATCTGCTTTCGACGTCAGTACTTCAAATTGATTGAACAGAGGAGGGATTGATGATTGGCTGTTTGTTCCACACACTCTTGCAGAGCCGCCAATAATCTCTAGAACCGAACTTTAAAGATGCTATACGTTCTTTCATTCTATCGGCAAACAGTAACTTTCCTTCATTGAAGACTCGGTCGCACTCGTTACGAGCAGAGACGTCTATAGATAGATAGATAGATAGATAGATAGATGATTAGATAGATAGATAGATAGATAGATAGAGAGACTGAGATAGAAGATAGATAGATGAACAGATAGATGAGATAGATAGATATGAACAGATAGATAGATAGATAGATAGATAGATAGATATAGATAGATAGATGAATAGATAGATATGAAAACGATTGAGATAGATAGATAGATAGATAGATAGATAGATAGATAGATAGATAGATAGGAACAGAGCGATATAGATAGATAGCTAGATAGATAGATATGAACAGACTGAGATAGATAGATAGATAGATAGATAGATAGATAGATAGATAGATAGATACAGATGTCCACATCCTCCAGGTGCTAGCGGCAGATACTCAATTAATCTTAGCGAGAAAGTAAATCCCATGAAATAAATTTACAGGTGTTTCCTCAGACGAATACGTACTCGTACACATGATATATAGTATATATATATATATATATATATATATATATATAGTGTGTGTGTGTGTGTGTGTGTGTGTGTGTGTGTGTGAAATGACAGTTTACAACCTATATGCCTGTCTCGCTGTCTATTACGTTGAATTTTCCATCATTTTTGTTTGACGAAATATTTTATTCATACAAAGTCATAACTTCATTATTCGGTCCTTTAAGCGTTTGTGACATATGAATGCACTTACTGCATTATTACTTTACCGTTGTACAACTTTGGATGTGTGTGTGTGTGTGTGTGTGTGTGTGTGTGGCTAGCGGTCAGGAAAGCGAAATCGGCGGTCCGGGTTCGAATTCCAGCCGAGTTCGTTTCACTCCCTTTGACGCATATTGTCTTGGGAAAGCTAAGACTCCATCTCTCCCCCCTACGTCTAAACATTACGGGTTCAGTAGCGGAGTATGTTCTCTAGCCATGCTTGGCAGCCAGGCTAGGAAAAGGACAACTCTGAATGAAATGGCGTTCACAATTCCCCTTGCGGCGCGCGGGCGTTGTTCACTCTCTTCTCGCAGCCTCCTGCAGAAAAATGCCGATTTGCCCTCATGAAGGGAAAACGGCTGCAGAAAAATTCTCGCCTCGACCATGAAGCCCTTTCGAAAAAAAATCACTTCGGTCAGAAGTTGGTCGGGCCGAGAACTTTTCTGCACTTTTTACGTGGCTTTATTTTCCAATTCATTTTTAAGAAACTTAATTTTCTTTCTCAATAATAATTTATTTAGGGTTACCTCAGTGTGGTGTGATGGTTACCAAGCTTGTCCCGCAAGAACAATTAAGACAGGGCAAAGATATATATTAACTAGCTATATATATATATATATATATATATATATATATATATATTATAAATTAATTGATTTAAAATTTGTTTTTTCGCTACACAGTTCTAGACATGTTTCAAAAATGGAAGCTAAAAGCAACGAATTTAATTTTGTGATTAAATTAAAGACATTAGTTCCATTTCATCCTCAAGCAAATTTTTATATATATATATATATATATATATATATATATATATATATTCCACTTATACGTTATATTTATAGATATAATTTAAGTAAATGCTGTTTTTTTTTTGGGGGGGTGAGTTTTTTTTTTTTTTTTGTTTAAATTAAACAGTATTAATTACATTACCTGCCTGAATGTTCAAGAAATTTCGTAGATAATATGTGCTTCTCCGACAGGAATGGAACCCTTAACCCTTAATGGGAAGCATCATTTGATCTGATGGTCTGTTAGGCATTTAGATAAAAAGAAACGTCTAGTTAGCAAAGTCCGAATTACTGTTTATAAACATACACCTTCGACGATTAAAAATAACGAATAAAAGGAAAATATATTAAAATAATTGTCTGTATGTATGTATTTATGTATGTATTCGACTCTCCCGTCGTTTTTAAACGTATGAGGGTCAAACAGCTCAGTTCCTAGGAACCAACAGCCAGACACCAGCACATATGATTTGATTATAGTGGTGAAGGTTTTGTGCAGAACTATTCACACTTTTTGAAGGGCCGAATACAGAGACTTGGCGCACTACGTGACACAGTATCTCCAAACGACCCTCCACATGTGTTGAATTCAGAGTTGTCCTTCTCCTAGACTAGTTGTCCTCAAAGGCTATAGAACCCGGTCTGTCCTGCTAATTTACCCATAGCTGAAGGGAGATGAAGTGGATTCATACCTTTCCCAAGGGTATTAGTACGTAAGTGAATGTACTGGATTCCACTGGAATTCGAACTCGGCTCTCCGATTCCTCAATCCGTGCCGCTAAAGAAAATCATTTATGTGAGAACTTCGATACGGTGTAATGGTTAACACGCTTGTCTCACTTACGACTCAATAGTGAGTTCGATCCTCAATGGGTCTCCACACTTTCGGTCTTGTGTTAACTGTTTCTTGGATATCCAGGCCGGTAAATGTTGTTAATACTGCTTTATTATAAACAGAGCATTTACTTAAATATTTGTATCTATAAAAGACAATGTATAAACATAAAAAATGTCTTATATATATATATATATATATATATATATATATATATATATATATATATATATATATATATATATTATGAAAAACTTCCCTAATCCGTAAGGGTAAACCCAAGGAGGATAGTGGTGAAATAATTCATTACATGGAACCTTAAAGTGGTCTGTTTTTTATTTAAATTATCTATCTATCTATCTATATATATATATATATATATATATAGTTTATGAAAAGCTAGGTAATCCGTATGGTATATTACCCAAGGAGGATGATATCCGGAGAGCAAAATGTAAATTCAGAGCAAATACAATTATATAAAAACAGACCACTTTAAGGTTCCATGTAATAAATTATTTCACCACAGCCCTTTTAAAGGGGATCTGGATCATCAGATTTACTTCCAAACAAAAAAGTGAAAAGAAAATTTACACATTTTTGACGGCCGTATTCTTTATATCTCGCTATCATTCGTTAATTTAGGATATGATTAATACGGCCCGTCAAAATGTGCTTGATAACAGTTACACCATTATGTAACTCCGCTTAGAAAATAATTTAGGCACTTCAACTTGGTGTAACTGTTATCAAACTTGTCTTGCTAGAAAAATTACGAGTGAGTGAGTTCCTCAGTGGGTGCCCCATACATTTGATGTTCTGACACATCTAAGTTTCGCTTAGAAAATCGCTATAGACCAATTGAAATCCGATCTAAACATGACTACTTAAAATGATTTCTGTTCCTAAAATTAAAATAAAAATAACTGTTTTGTTATTCCTTTTTCTCAATTTGTATATTCCTAATTCAGCCAGTGTTTTGTTGATGGTTTTTTTTTTTTATTTTATTTTTATATAAGTAAATTGTTTCGTCATTCAAATAAAACCACTCTTTGCTGTGAACATGATAACCACCTTAGAATTTCGATCACTGCTTGCAAGGGAAGTAAGCAATGATGCCATTTTTAAAAATATATATATGCAAAATCTAACAAATATTTCTTATTATATCATATCGAATATGGAAGTAAAATGAAATGAAATCGGATATGTTTTTTATTTTTATTTTTAACTGAATGTGAGGGTTAAAGAAAATAGCCGAAAACGCCCTGACATACAGGATATTCGGTCAATTTTTACACACTTTATGTCCAGAAAAGAAAAACTTAAACGAATAACAAGAAAGATTAAATAAAGAGCTTAATCGCAAACTTGTTAGTCGTTTTTATTATATATATATATATATATATATATATATATATATATATATATATATATATATATATATATATCGTTTCTCTCCGAATTAACATGATTAGATTGAAATATTTATGAATAAAAATGACAATAGGAAAACTGGTAATTGCTAACGCGTTTCGTCCAATGTGGATTTATCAAAAATAAACGAAAATGAAATTAAATGTTTTTTATTTTTAAATTGTTCATTTAATTTCATTTTCCTTTGATAAAGTCCACATTTTTCTAAAAAAAAAAATTACCAATTTTTCAGTTGTCATTTTTTCGCGATATATATATATATATATATATATATCTATATATCATTCCAATGGAATAAATTATGACCATGGAATTTTAGTGTTTAGCCTTTCTATTATTCAGATACAAAGTCCTGGACATTGAGTTCTAAACCTTCTATTTCAAATTAAGAATTTTTTAAAAAAATATAAATGTATGTGTATGCAATTATGTATATATATCTATATATTTTGCATATGTATGTGTATATTTACTTTTTAATATTTGGATTCTTATTATATATATATATATATATATATATATATTTATATATATATATATATATATATATATGCGTTATCAAGTATTTAGGAAAGATGAATCCTTTGACTTCATGCAATATTTCATTGAATACGACATGTTTTCAATCTTTTTTATTTATTTTTTTATATAAAATTTTTCATGCGATCTAATAATTTTTTCAAAATGATAAATTATGTAAAAAAATTTTCCGAATGTTTTTTTTTATCCGAAGATTTACTATACATTTTCTTTATATAGAAAGGTTCATCCTGTAGAAGACCTGGGAGCCAGTTGAAGAGGCAGAGTGTTACGTTAAAGAGTAGTTTATATGGAGTCCCGACTTGAACCGGTTAAGATTGTAATGATCGTGGAAACATCCTCTCTGGTGTCTGTTCCATTATGTTTACTGAGCATTAGTCATATCATGAAACCAATATTTAAAAAATAAAAAAAGTGTCCGTATTCTTGATCATGAAGTAAATTTGTGTTCGTTTATTTATCGAATATTTTTTTTTAAAGATAATCTACCGTAGTGTTTCATTGAACTGTAATGCGATGACATTCGGATTTTGATGACCATTATAAATTTTATACCTTTTCTTTGATTTAAAATAAATTTTATTTTATTCACAGCCATGTTTAAATCATTACACGAATAACCGACAACAACAAAAAAAAACAACTACTCTTCTCCAAAACTGGCCTTTTTTTATTAATGAGCTTTTCAACCGTGATATCCTCCGAAATGCATAAATTTGCGAAAAAAAAAAAATATGTGAAAACCTATTCAAGTGGAAAAAAAATATTTTTCAATCAAAATGGTGGCCATTACATTCTGTATATGGTCCCGAAAAACAGCGTATCGTTTCTCAACATTTTTTTTTTTTTTTTCTAACCCTTGAAATAGTTTAAATGCCTAAGGAAATACCTACATAAACACAACGGAATAGACATAATGGAACAGACACCAGAGGGGATGTTTCCCCAATCATTACAATCTTAACCTGTTCAAGACGAGATCATATAAACTCATTTTATCCCCTTTTGGGCCCCAGGTTTTGTATAGGGTGAACTTAATTATATATATATATATAT